TTGGACAAGGTTCCCGACCACATCACCCCCCCAAAAGGTCCTTTGTTTTTTGGTCTCGGGGTCTTCCCGGTCTCTCCCCGGGCGGAAATTCTTTTTTGTTTTTGTCTGCCCGTTTACTTCCCATCGGTTCATCCCCCGGTAGCAGCAGCATCCGGGGGGGGGGCAACCCCGCCAACTTTGCCCTTGACTATTGTTATTTTTTTTATGGTTTCGTCGGTGTCAGAATCCAACCGAGAGCTGGACGAGGGACAGGATAGTCTTGTCGGCGCTGAGTGGAATCACCGGTCCTGAGGACGTAAAGCGGTGAGACGGGATCAATTCCTCACTCGGGAGGGGCGGGGGGGGTCTTGTGTTTGGGCATGGGGGGAGGAAGGGTTGTTGTAGCTTTGCATCGAAAACACGGGGCGTGACGATTGTATTGTGCTTCGAAGTAGTACTTTTGGTGTGTGAAGGTGTTGCCGGGGGGGGGGGGAGGGGTTGTGGTGTTGCGGGGGGGTACATCTGATAACTTGTTGTGGTTTTTCGTTCCTTGTCGGTCTGATCACGTGATCTGGTGGCCGTCCTCCACTCTGCCCATTAGTGCTTTTTTCCGTGCTCATTTCGAACAACCTGCTGCCCCCCCCGTCCTCTGCCCCGCATAACGTGATCGATCACGATCGCCCCCAGTTTCGAGACAATGGGGGTGTCGATGGTGCTGGTGGGGGAGACCCTGATGCGGGCGGAGGATCCCGCAAAAGCGATCCGCACACTCCTGGGGGAGGAAGACCCAACGCCGGTAAGAAAAAGAACAGATACGACACAAGTAGATCAAACTATTATAATAGCTCACACAAAACCAGCCTCATGGTTTTCTTTGCGCCTTTAGTACGCACGGTGCGGCAGGCATAACTATTGTAGTTTAGTTAGTTTGCAATCCGTGTACCCCCCCCGGGAGACGTTCGCTTGAGTTTGGTCTGGATACTACCATCTCATGGCCGTTGGTTCACGCTGCCATCGACAGGACATGAGTTGGTTTGCTCTTTCGGGCGTTGTCTGACTCATCCAAGAGCACTGTAAACGGGCGAGTGTTGTTTTTGTTGTTGTTGTTGGCGGTGGTAAGTAGTATCTCTTCTTCTTCTTCTTCTTCTTCTTCTTCTTCTTCTTCTTCTTCTTCTTCTTCTTCTTCTTCTTCTTCTTCTTCTTCTTCTTCTTCTTCTTCTTCTTCTTCTTCTTCTTCTTCTTCTTCTTCTTCTTCTCCTCCTCCTCCTCCTTCTTCACCTTCTTGTCCTTCTTGTCAACTCTGCTGTTCTTGTCACGACTCAGGTGTCGGAGCAACGTCTGGTGAAGGTGTGCGGCGTGACCAACGTGGAGGACGCCTCGACGATCGCCACCGCCGGCGCCAACCTCATCGGCGTCATCTTCGCGGAAGGTTCCCCCCGCAGGTGAGTGACAGAGACTGGCAATTCCTACGTGCGTTGTTGTTGCCGGCCGCTGCTGCTACTGTCTTCTGCTGCTGCTGCTGCTGCTGCCTCTGTTTGCCTGGCATGCACTACTGAAAATACCCTACACCTATCCATGGTGAGAGGGGGGTTCAGTTGCTGACGGGTGGGTGGCACACGTCGTTCACGGAAAGAGATCATCTCGAGCTGTGTATCAACCAACCAACCCTCCCACTTACCCTCGTGAATGACAGCACGAAGACGGCGAAACAGCTCTTATCAAAACTTCTTTGTTGTTGTTTTCCGGCGCCTGTTGATTCTCGTGTGTGGTTCGCTCACCCCGCCTGCCTGCAGAATTTTGCGAAGGAGACGCAACGTACATCCCTGAGCAATCGATCCAAAAGCGTCGCGTCTGTCTGTCCCCCCACGCGCCTCCTGATTTTCGGCCGTCGGACAAAACCGCGAGGCCTTCCGGCCCGTCCAGGCGTTGTATCACGTAGAGACGTTCGTTTTCGTTGTTGTCGAAGGTTGAACACGCATGATTTCGAGTACCCGCCCTCCTCCATTTGCTGTTTTTCCGAATTTTGGAAGGTACAGTAAGAACGGGTCAATACCTAGGTTGCGCGGTCAACAGCTATGTGACGAAAGACAACCGACAAATTCGTAACCCCCCCCCCCCTGTTCACACCTCACGTACCCCCCTCTGCCCCTCCCTTCCCTGCGGTTGGTTGACATTCTCGCGATACTGTATGATGTATGATGCAGAGTCACCGAAAAACGCGCCCGCGACATCGTCAAAACCGTGCAGGCGTTCGGAGAGCGAAATTCTCCCAAGCACATTGAGCCGCCCCCGCAGGTGGGAGGGAGGGAGGGGGGTGGGGGGGAAGAGACAAGTTGTTGGGTTAGCGTCTCCCATGTTTTGCTTCCTCTTTGCTGCGATCATATGCATACTAAATAGTGTAACAAATTTAGTTTCTTTATACGTAATAGACAACACGCGCTACGAGAGCAATGAGTTCCTTTCTCGGCCGAGCGTACAGATCGAAGACATTGACACCTGTACCCCATTGTATAAGACTCAAACCAAAATGTGCTTGTTTTTTGTTGTTCCGGCTCGCGTTTGTTGGCTGTCTTCCTTTTTGTGCCGTGTTTGGTGCTGATGTGTGTTTGTTTTTTGTGGTGTTTTTTTCCCGGCGTGATGCGTAAGTTGACGATTCTCTGTTGTGAGTATTCCGCGGCCTCATTTGGGTCTCTTGTGTTTTTGCTGCGATCATATACAATGTTCCGTATTTAGGGTGTTTTCCAAGTAGACCAACACGCGCCAGGAGAGCTATTTGTTCCTTGCTCGGCCGAGCGTAAGGATTGGATGAAGCCCTGATAGGTATGCTCCCATTGTTTACGACTACAAGCAATCTGTTCTTGGTGTTGTTCCAACTCGCATTTTTTGGCCATTTTTTTTTTGTGGTGTTTTCTTTCATGGGTATGCCACTTTTTTGTACCGTTTTTTATCTTCTGACTTTTAGCCGTGACCCCTTTCGTCGTTCTGGGCAGACGGATTCAAGCGCAGAGTGGTTCCAGGCGTGGTCGAGAAAGCTGGTAGAGGCGAGCCACAGGACACCGCTTGTCGTCGGCGTGTTCCAGAACCAGCCGATGGAAGAGGTACGGTATGCACGCGTTTTGTTGTTGTTATGGTCGTCGTATTCGTAGTCGCGTGCATATGGGTGGACGCTGCGTACTTAAAACGTTTGTGTAAGTGTGTGAGCAGCGGTGGGTTTACTGCTGTACTCTATTATGGAGAGCCAAGAGAGATCCTGCCAGGCAAGAGACTTGGAAAAGACCGCCAGAAAGGCACCTATTAATAGTCCTGCAATGGACTTGCTTACGCATCTCCTTTGGTTACGTCGCCGTGCTCTCCCATCAGACGGGCCGCTCGTCTTGTCATGAGGACCTTATCT